CTTAGCTTGCAACGAGACGCGCCCACGATGAAAGCTTCAGCTACACTCACAATACATTATACTGCTACACTATTCTCTCCAGTCCTACCACATTATATTTCACCGACGTACTTCCGCACCTTCCACATCACCATACGTGCTTTGGAAACGCGGGCAGCTGCTTCACAAGGGCCCCCATCTTTTGATGCTGCAATGAGTGGCAATGCACAATGAGACAGGTACAGATCCTGCCTGTGGGTCGCCGCTGTACTGCCAAGAGATTGGCTGGCGCAAATGAAAGGCACCAACGGCAAATATATTTGAGGTGGAACCATTCTGTTTATTCATGCAAGCAGCTAACCGCGGTCTATGTGAGCGAGGTAGTTCGACTGTGCAAGCATGGCGGTCCAGCAGCCAAGCTGGCTAAGTCGTATTCATTTCTTTAACTTTATGTCCGTGTATATTTTGCATTTTTGTGTTATGTTGTGTTCATTGTTCATTTCTTCTCTTCCGTCAGCGGTTGCTCCAGATCCGCGGTCAAGGTTGGATATTACTTGTGCTGGGCTAAATAGCATCAAGTTCAAATCCTTTCCAGACTGCTAATGCACGGCATACAGTTGCTTGACTACTTTCGCTGTACATTCGAAAATGGGATGTCCATTTGCTTCCAGAACTAAAGGGGATTTCCAGGTTTAAATTGTCTTGATTCCTACAGAATAAGGATAATGGCTTCTTATGACTGGATAGTTCGATGTAAACAGCTTTCTCCGGCTCCCTAAGGTAGTGCCATGCACTTTCCAGTCAACTATGTTAACAGGTCGAACTTAGGGTTGCTATACATTCAAAATTGAGAAGTCCATTTGTTCTCGTTGGGAGCTTGTGTTACTTGGAGCATGAGAGCCTGGGGGTGTGGGAGCCTGAGCCGGGGGCCTGGAAGCCTGGGGGCCTGGGAGCCTGGGGGCCTGGGAGCTTGGGAGCCTGGGGGCCTGGGAGCCTGGGAGCTTGGGAGCCTGGGGGGCTGGGAGCCTGGCGAACTGGGGGCCTGGGAGCCTGGGAGCCTGGTGACCTGGGGGCCTGGGAGCTTGGGAGCCTGGGGGCCTGGGAGCCTAGGGACCTGGGAGCCTGGGAGCTTGTGAGCCTGGGGGCCTGGGAGCCTGGCGACCTGGGGGCCTGGGAACCTGGGAACCTGGGGACCTGGGGGCCTGGGAGCATGTGAGCCTGGGGGCCTGGGAGCCTGGGGGCCTGGGGACCTGAGAGCCTGGGGGCCTGGGAGCTTGGGGGCCTGGGGGCCTGGGAGCCTGGGGACCTGGGGACCTGAGAGCCTGGGAGCCTGGGGGCCTGGGAGCCGGGGGCCTGGAAGCCTGGGGGCCTGGGAGCTTGGGGGCCTGGGGGCCTGGGAGCCTGGGAGCCTGGGGACCTGGGAGCCTGGGGGCCTGGGAGCCTAGGGGCCTGGGAGCCTGGGGGCCTGGGAGCCTGGGGGCCTGGGAGCCTGGGGACCTGGGATCCTGGGGGCCTGGGGGCCTGGGAGCCTGGGGGCCTGAGAGCCCAGGGTCCTGGGAGCCTGGGAGCTTGGGGACCTGGGGGCCTGGGAGCTTGGCAGCCTGGAAGCCTGGGAGCTTGGGAGCCTGGGGGCCTGGGAGCCTGGGGGCCTGGGAGCCTGGGAGCTTGGAAGCCTGGGGGCCTGGGAACCTGGGAGCCTGGGGGCCTGGGAGCCTGGGGGCCTGGGGGCCTGGGAGTCTGGGGGCCTGGGAGCTTGCGAGCCTGGGGGCCTGGGAGCCTGGGAGCCTGGGGCCCTGGAAGCCTGGGGGCCTGGGGGCTTGGGAGTCTGGGGGCCTGGGAGCCTGGGAGCCTGGGGACCTGGGAGCCTGGGGGCCTGGGAGCGTGTGAGCCTGGGGGCCTTGGAGTCTGGGGGCCTGGGAGCCTGGGAGCTTGGGAGCCTGGGAGCTTGGGGCCCTGGGAGCCTGGGGGCCTGGGAGCCTGGGGGCCTGGGAGCCTGGGGGCCTGGGAGCCTGGGAGCTTGGGAGCCTGGGAGTCTGGGGGCCTGGGAGCCTGGAGGCCTGGGAGCCTGGGGGCCTGGGAGCCTGGGGGCCTGGGAGCCTGGGGGCCTGGGAGCCTGGGGGCCTGGGAGCTTGGGAGCCGGGGGCCTGGGAGCCTGGGGACCTGGGGGCCTGGGAGCCTGGCAACAGCTGTGCCCCACAACTACCTGCCTGCATCAAACAAATCTGCCGTACTCCGATAGCCATATCGGAGTACGACAGCGTTTTGATGCCCCACGTAAAACACATAAGAGCCCTGACCCTCCCCCCCATCTTACCTCCATTCCCGGCTGGACGTCGGCCCCATCGTCCGAGGCCTGCTGCACGTGCAGCACGTGGATGGGAACATGAGAATTAGGGCAGGCACGTCAATTCGGGCAGGCACGTCAATTAGGGCAGGCACGTCAATGAGGCAGGCGGACGAAAATACACACACCCCTCCCCCAACCAGCCCCAGCCACCCTCCATAGCATCAGGAACAAGAAAGAGGGCAAGGGGTAACGAATCCACAAAGAAAAACAACCCTGGCACAGCTGTGCCCCACAACTACCTGCCTGCATCAAACAAATCTGCCGAACTCCGATAGCCATATCGGAGTACGACAGCGTTTTGATGCCCCACGTAAAACACATAAGAGCCCTGACCCTCCTCCCCATCTTGCCTCCATTCCCGGCTGGACGTCATCCCCATCGTCCGAGGCCTGCTGCACGTGCAGCACGTGGATGGGAACATGAGAATTAGGGCAGGCACGTCAATTCGGGCAGGCACGTCAATTAGGGCAGGCACGTCAATGACGGAGGTGAAACATACACACCCCCCTCCCCCAACCAGCCCCAGCCACCCTCCATAGCATCAGGAACAAGAAAGAGGGCAAGGGGTAACGAATCCACAAAGAAAAACGACCCTGGCACAGCTGTGCACCACAACTACCTGCCTGCATCAAACAAATCTGCCGTACTCCGATAGCCATATCGGAGTACGACAGCGTTTTGATGCCCCACGTAAAACACATAAGAGCCCTGACCCTCCCCCCCATCTTACCTCCATTCCCGGCTGGACGTCGGCCCCATCGTCCGAGGCCTGCTGCACGTGCAGCACGTGGATGGGAACATGAGAATTAGGGCAGGCACGTCAATTAGGGCAGGCACGTCAATTAGGACAGGCACGTCAATGACGGAGGCGAAACATACACACACCCCTCCCCCAACCAGCCCCAGCCACCCTCCATAGCATCAGGAACAAGAAAGAGGGCAAGGGGTAACGAATCCACAAAGAAAAACGACCCTGGCACAGCTGTGCCCCACAACTACCTGCCTGCATCAAACAAATCTGCCGTACTCCGATAGCCATATCGGAGTACGACAGCGTTTTGATGCCCCACGTAAAACACATAAGAGCCCTGACCCTCCTCCCCATCTTACCTCCATTCCCAGCTGGACGTCATCCCCATCGTCCGAGGCCTGCTGCACGTGCAGCACGTGGATGGGAACATGAGAATTAGGGCAGGCACGTCAATTCGGGCAGGCACGTCAATTAGGGCAGGCACGTCAATGATGGAGGCGAAACATACACACACCCCTCCCCCAACCAGCCCCAGCCACCCTCCATAGCATCAGGAACAAGGAAGAGGGCAAGGGGTAACAAATCCACAAGGAAAAACAACCCTGGCACAGATGTGGCCCACCACTACCTGCCTACATAAAAAACCTGCCGTATTCCGATAGCCATATCGGAGTACGACAGCTTTTTAACGCCCCACATAAAACACATAAGAGCCCCGCGCCTCCCGCCCATATCACCTCTCCAAGCGAGCCCAATTCCTCCTCACGGTGGCCACCCGCCTCCATTCCCGGCTGGATGTCAGCCAAGAGTAACTAAAGTTAGTTCAGCGACAGTGAGTGGCGGTGAGTTCTATTTTAACGTTGCTACAAGGCATAGTAAAATATAACACAAATCCCTTATCCCAATTGAAGCTATTCCGAATTCCTTCTCACTTGAAGCGGCTTCCTTCTCACTTGAAGCGGTTCCGATTAGCAACAATACTTGGCCCATATCGTGTTTGACTGAGTTGGGAGTTATGGCTACATGCTTTGGTCTTTCGTAATGAAGATATTTGTTTGATGGAGAGGACATTGAAGCCATAATAGCCAAAGCCGTACATGAGCGGTTATGTCAGCCAATGGCTCGGAAACCTCGTCGGTCGTAATTTTGTTCAGTAAACCTGACAAGGGTTTAAATGATTTCAGCCGACTTTCGGATATTGTGGCGTGGACCCACTACATTGGCGGACCTGGTCGACAAGGTCGATCAATGTCGGCCTCGGGTAACCTTGCCTATGTACTTATTTGTTCATGAGCTATATTCTACTTTGTGCTGCAACAATCGGCGTTCCTTTGCGCCATGACCATGACTACCAATGGTCATGTTACATCGGAGCACCAATACAGGTGGCAAACACCGGAAGTAACCTAAATTTCACTTATGATGAGTTCAACGGCTATATTCATGCTTCCCAATCTGCTTTCGGGACTGCACGTCAAAAATAACCTCGTCCTGACAACTGTCCCGTAGCTGCTGAGCCTTGGGCGCTACACGTCTATGGACTGCCAAATGGCCGTAGGTAGAGAGCAAATCGTCAGGACAAATAATGCCTCCCCACACTCAAATTGGATGGCAAACATTTTAACTAACCTCGTCATAACATTTCACACACTCAGCGCGCATATCTGTGCATAACTATGACACTTTCAAGGTTGCACATTTACCAAGCTTCTAGCTGGCGAGTAACCTGTCCAGACAACTGCCCCGTAGCTACTGAGCCTGACGAGTTACACGTCTCCGGACTGCCATAGGGCAGTCTCTTCCTTGCTGGCCCCTGCTGGCCATGGCCATGGTGGCCACCTTTGCCCAGCTTGGCTGCTTCTTTCACTGAACCTGCCCTGGCAGCTTGTTTCACTGCAGCAAGCTCAGCCCGCATCTGGTGAGCAGTGATGGCAGTGCACCACGTAGTTTCATGGTCAGGCATCCCATATGCACCACCACCAGTGCCACCCGTCGCCATGGTGTCCCCATACTCTGCGATGACATCGTCAAGTCTCTCGCCAATCAGGTCCTCCAGGTAGTCACCTTCTGGCTCACAACCAGCTGGCCCCATAATTGTTTTGCCAGCAATCACAGCCGCCTCCGGTGCAGCCATGGCCATCTGAGCTGAGACCTGCTAGCAGAACATCAAGATGTGAGCATATGTACGGCCCAAAATGCATGATACTCGTGCCCTGCAATGTTCAGGAACCTACAAGCAACTGCATGACATGTGCCATGGATACATCCACAATGACATGTCATAATACATCATGTCATAACCCATACCCCGCGTACCTGCTGCTGCTTTGGTGGCACCACTGTTCATCGCACCCATCCCTACGAACGCGGAGGGGGGTTAAGAACGTTCTTAAGTCGTTCTTAGCCCAGCCAAATTGATAAAATTGAATAATCATTAGAACGTTCTTACACTGTTCTAAGAACGTTCTAAGAACCACTATGACGACGGGTGATCGCGTTAAGTCCGCGTTAGCTCGCGTTAGTTCGCGTAACGGTGCGAATCTTAGCGTTAGGTGCGAATGAGCATGCTTTTGCAACGCAAAGAGCTAACGCACAACGGCTATGGAAAAGCGGAAATCGGCCCTTCTGGCCAAGTTTTTTAAAAATTTATAATTTTCAGATTGTAAAGGTTTATTTGGAAATAAACTTGCGTCGTTTTGGTCGACTTGAACAATTTATCCGTGCGTATGTTGAAACGCGAAGCATACGCGCATGTGTAGCAAGGCGATACGCATGCGATTCCATATTGCGATTCGTGCGTGTGGGGAGACAATGCGTAAAGCAATTCGCGTCCACTCGCACATCAAACGCACACAGTCCGCAAGGCTATTTGCACGCGAATGCATGTTGCGTATCATGCGTATGAAGGCTGATTGCGTAAAGCTTAACGCGGCCTAACACTCACCTTACGCACACATTTCACAACGCATTTCGCATCTAATACATGCTGCGTTTCATGCGTATAAAGGCTCATAGCGTAAAGCTTAACGCGGCCTAACACTCGCCAAACGCACACATGTCGCCACGCATTTCGCAAGCTAATACATGCTGCGTTTCATGCGTATAAAGGCTCATTGCGTAAAGCTTAACGCAGCCTAACACTTACCAAACGCACACATATCGCAACGCAATTCGCATGCAAACAAATGTTGCGTTTCAAGCGTATGAAGGCTCGTTGCGTCAAGCTTACTGCGGCCTAAGCTAACACACAACAAGCACACACGATTTACCTTTGATGAATCGCATGACATAACATTTCGCATGCGATGTTTTATGTGTTGGTCGCATACTCAGTTCGTAAACCTTCACGCAGTCTCATGAGAGAATAACATGTTTGGCAGCACTCAGGGGGCCCTTCCGCAAACGAAATCGCATCAGGCGCAGCCCTACACCGCACAACGATTCATCATACCATCAACTAGATGCCAGAAAGGTGGCGGGACATGCCGCATGCGACCGCGCACGCAATTAGACCCCCGCCGTGAGATGCGTCGGCGGCTGTGAGGCAGGTGGGGACATGCCTATGAGGCTGAAAGGGCTTCCGGACGCATAAATCGCACCAGGCGCCGTCGTACGCCGGACCAACGATGCATCATAACAGTAACTAGTTGCTAGAAAGGCGGCAGGAATAGGAGCATCCTTACGCGCACGCAATTAGACCCCCGCCGTGAGATGCGTCGGTGGCTGTGAGGCAGGTGGGGACACGCCTGGAGGCTGAAAGGGCTTCCGGACGCATAAATCGCACCAGGCGCCGTCGTACGCCGGACCAACGATGCATCATAACATTTCTAGTTGTTAGAAAGGCGGCGGGGAATAGGAGCATCCTTACGCGCACGCAATTAGACCCCCGCCGTGAGATGCGTCGGTGGCTGTGAGGCAGGTGGGGACACGCCTGGAGGCTGAAAGGGCTTCCGGACGCATAAATCGCACCAGG